CTAAACCACCAACTTACACACAAGAATAAACTCAAAATGTATAAAAGCCTTAAATGTAAGTTGTGAAACCATGAAAATCATAGAAGAAACCATAGGCAGCAAAATCTCAATCATCTCTAATAGCAATATGTTTGTCAACATATCTCCTAGGATGAAGGAAACTTAGAGAAAATAAACAAATAGGACTACATCAGAATTAAAAGCTCTGCACAACAACAAAATGAAAGGAGCCCACTGTATGGGAAAATATATTTAGCAATGATACATCTGATAAAGGATTAATATTCAAAATATATAAGTAACTTATACAACCTAACAAAAAGAAGACCATCACTCCAATTAAAAAAAGGGCAAAGGACCTGAATAGACACTCTCCAAAGAGAAACATAGGTGGCCAATATACATCTCTAAAATCAATAAAAAATATTTTTAAAAGCTTTATTTACTTATTTTTACGATTTTTATTTATTTATTTATTTATTTTAGAATTTACTTGTTAGCTTCATCTTTTTTAAAAAATATATATTTTATTGATTTTTTACAGAGAAGAGGAGAGAGGGATAGAGAGCTAGAAATGTCGATGAGAGAGAAACATCAACCAGCTGCCTCTTGCACACCCCCTACCGGGGATGTGCCCACAACCAATGTACATGCCCTTGACCAGAATCGAATCTGGGACCTTTCAGTCCGCAGACCGACGCTCTACCACTGAGCCAAACCAGTTTCGGCTTATTTTTACAATTTTTAAATCCTTACCTGAGGATATGTTTTTTTTTTCTATATTTTTAAAATAGTGTTTTGTTTTTTTAAAACATTTTTTATTTTAGAAGGAAAGAGAGGAGAGAGAGAGAGAGAGAGAGAGAGAGAGAGAGAGAGAGAGAGAGAGAGAGAGAGACTCAGAAGAGAGAGAGAGAGAGAGAAACATCCATATGAGAGGGTAACAACATTAATGGTCTTCCTCCTACATGTGCCCTGACAGGGCATGGAACCCACAACATTTTGGTTTAGTGGTGAAGCTCAAACCAGCTGAGCAATCAGGCCAGGGCTAAAAGATTTATTTTTCCCATAAAAACTTTGGATATCCTTCTCTATGGCCAACCAAAATTACTCTGGTTGCTAAATTTACCTTAAATTGGTACAGTCCTTGTTTTTTTTTTGTTTGTTTGTTTCTGTAATCACAGCACCAGGTATTATTATTGCTCTGATTCCTATCTGGCTTAAAACTTAAGCATAACCAATAGACACATATACTAGGGGTATGAGGGTATGTGCTGGGGTGTGGGGATGGCCAGGGAGAGGTCAAGGGGGGGAAGTAGACATATGTAATACTATATGTAATACTTTAAACAATAAAGAATTTAAAAATAAAATAAAAATGTAAGTCAGAAAAAAACACAAGAAACTTCAGTGTGCTTTTCACCTAGACTAGCTCGTGAAATTTCATGTACCTGTTATTCAGTTTCTTTTTATAATTTTTTAATATTTTTTAAAAATAAAATGATTGAAATAGAATTTACATACCTTAAATTTACCTATTGTAAGTATAATTTAATGACTTTATAAAGTAAATTTATAAAGTTATGCAGCTATCACTACACTCCAAAAAGTTCCTGTGTGTGGTACATATTTACAGTTAGTCCTTGCTCCCACACAGCCATAGGCAATAATTAATTTTTCTGATTCTACAGATTTGTCATATTTGAATATATATCCTACCTAATAAAAGAGTAATATGCAAATTAACCATCACTCTGTGACACTCACAAGCCATGCCCACCAGCCACTCCCACCAGCCAATCAGAGCAAGCATGCAAATAAACCCAACCAAAATGGCTACAGCCACAGAGCAGGAGGGAGGCTTGGGTTTCCCAGGCAATGGAGGAAGCCAAGCTTTCTGCCTGCCCTTGCTGGCCTAGGCCTCCACTCCAGGCTACAAAGTTTCAATTATAGAAGGTAAACAAATCCAAACAGAAATGGTGGCAGCCACAGAGTGAGCAGGAGACTTGGCTCTGCTCCAGGCTACAAAGTTTCAATTGTAGAAGGTAAATAAATTCCAGACACCAGGGGGCATGGCTGGCCTGCAAACCACCATGGGCCACCCCATGCCCCAAGGTAACCCCCACCCTGATCCGGGACACCCTTCAGGTTAAACCATGCACCAGGCCTCTATCCTGCCTAATAGAAGAGTGATATGCAAATTAACCATCACTCCTCTACACCTACAAGCCACACCCACTGGCCACACCCACCAGCCAATCAGAGCAAGTATGTAAATAAACCCAATCTAGATGGCTATGGCAACAGAGACTAGGCAGGAGGCTTGGATTTCCCAGGCAACAGGAACATCGTCAGAACCCAGGCTGTTCATAGCCGGTAGGCCCATAGGCCCTGAGTGGCAGAGGTCCCAGAATGCCCCCTGGCCACTTGGAGCCTATGAGTACAGGCACCAAGTGGCTGGGGGTGGGGCGGGAATGTCCCCATGTTATCAAGTGATGCAGGGACATTCTACCCCACCTGCAGCCACTTGGGAATGCTCCAGCACCAAGTGGCCTCAGGCCAGCAGTCATGCAGTGATCTGGCCATGCCCGAAGCCTGGGGACTCAGGCTGGCAAAGGCATATGGACCCACGCAAAAATCCCCTCCCAGCCCAGCCTGGGTTCTCAGCCACTGAGTTACACCAGCCAGGCAATATGAAGGAATCTTAAATGTTTCTTTTTTAAATATATATATTTTATTGATGTTTACAGAGAGGAAGGGAAAAGGATAGAGCTAGAAACATCTATGAGAGAGAAATATTGATCAGCTGCCTTTTGCACAGTCCCCACTGGGTATGTGCCCCCAACCAAAGTCCAAGGCCTTGAATGGAATCGAATCTGGGACCCTTGAGTCTGCAGGCCATTGCTCCATTCACTGATCCAAACCAGTTGGGGCTGTCCAATATGTTAAAGAAAAAACCCTATCTAATAAAGAGGGAATATGCAGGGGAGGGCATTTGGGGGTGACCAGGCTGTCAGGGGAGGGTAGTTGGGGCCCATCCGGCTGGCAGGAAAGTGGTTAGGGGGTGATTATGCTGGTAGGCAGAAGCGGTTAGGGGGAATCAGGTAGGCAGGTGAGCAGTTGGGAGCTAGCAGTCCAGGATTGTGAGAGGGATGTCTGACTGCCTGTTTAAGCCCGGCAGTCAAACATCCTCAAGGGGTCCCAGATTGGAGAGGGTGCAGGCTGGGCTGAGGAACACAGACCCCTGTGCATGAATTTCATGCACTGGGCCCCTAGTTAATAATAAAACTCCAACGTTCACCTGACTGCACAGAATTTTTAAACAGCTTAGTTTTTGAGTGTGGTTTGGCGTGGAGGGGAGTGTTGGTTACTGGGTGAGTTGGAATGTGGAGGGAGAGTCATGTTTGCTGGGGCTGGTGAGTTTAGCTCAACCTGACCATTCACAGCCTTGAATATCAGATGTGCAACTTGGATCTCTTTTGAAGGTGGAAACTGGTGAAGGGGTGCAGCAGGCAGGCTCAGACCAGATGGGGCTATAGGAAGGGTCCTCAGGAGGTGGGCAGAGGAGAGGAGTGGAGAAGGGGTGGTGCCTGGATTGGAGGACCAGGAAGAAGGCTGATTGAATGACACAGATGAGATATCTTGAGTCTGTGGTGGGTGGGGGGGACACTCCTCAGAAGGGCTCAGTGGGGTCCATGGAGTGAGTTGATGGTCTCTGTGAAGTGCTCCAATGAGGAAGTGAAGGCTGCTCCACTCTCATTGGTGTCTGGAGGTGTCAGGGAGGACCCCACCCCAGGGGAGAGGGAGGCCTGTGAGGTGCTGAGAAGACTGATTTCCATTTATCAGAGGAAAGCAGGGCCCCACAGGGACTGTGGACTTTCCCCACACACTTCCCTTAATTGACTTCCTGTTTCTGTAGGTCAGCACCAGCTGTTTCTTCATGGCTCTTCTTTGAAACCTCTGAGTTATTGCTGCCTCTTCTGGGCCCCTCCTCCCCTGAGCAGAGCTCCTCCCTCACACTGGGAATTCTGTCTCCAGCACTGGGCAAGCACCCACATGGGAGGCAATCCAGATTTCAACATGGACACAGACAGACTCGGGGACCTGCCACAATTTATGTTATTGATCTCCCAGGAAAGGAGAATGATGTCAATGAAGAAAAACAGATTTGAACAATTAGATAGTGACTATTTCACAAATTTGTTGAGTCATACATTTACACAGTCAAGATACTCAGCTATAAATATTTAAAGCCCAGCCAGTATGGCTCAGTGGTTGTGTTGACCTATAAACCAGAGGTCATAATTCCATTCCTGGAAGGCACATGCCTGGTTGTGGGCTTGATTTCCAGTGTGGGGCATGCAGGAGGCAGTTGATCAATGATTCTCTCATCTTTGATGTTTCTCTCACCTTCTTTCTTCCTCTCTAAAATCAATAAAAATGTATGTTTAAGAAGTTTCTTTCTTTGTCTTTAACCTTTGCCTTTTTAATTATAATGTGTCTTGGCGTGGGCCTCTTTGGGTTTTTCTTGTTTGGAACTTCCGTGTCTTTTTCATCACTAGTTTAGGGAAGTTTTTGGTCAGTATTTCTTCAAATAAGTATTCAATCACTTGCTCTTTCTCTTCTCCTTCTGGAACCCCTATGATGCTGATGTTGTTCTACTTCATGTTGTCCCAAAGGTCCCTTTAGCTATCCTCATTCTTTTTGTTTTTTTCTTTTTTTTCTTTTTGCTGTTCTTATTGTTTTTTTCTACCTTGTCTTCCAAATCACTCATTTGATCTTTTGCTTTATTTAACCTATGGTTTATTCCTTCCAGTGTATTCTTTTTCAAAATCCTCAACTGAGGATATGTTTTTTAAAAGTTTATTTTATTTTTGTTAATCTTCCCCAGAGGATATTTTTTTCATTGCTTTTCAAAGAGAGTGGAATGGAGGTGGGGGTTGGGGTGAGGAGTGGGGAAGAGAGAAACAGTGTGAGAAAGGCACATTGACTGGTTTTCTATCTGAGCCAAACCAGCTAGGGCTCCACATTTCCTGATTTGAGGTTCTGGAGAAATCCACTCAGCTGCCCTCCTCCAGCTGTTTGGTTTTCCTGTGGCAGGTGCTCTGAGGCCCCCTCCTGTGACCAATGCCACCTCTATTCAACTAATGTCTTGCCTTTGCTCTGACACCAGAATAGGAGGAAGAGGAAGAGAAGGAGGGAGAGCAGCAGGACCAGGGCCACCGAGACCCTGATCAGGATGATCAGGTTCCAGTCAAGATCTTGAACACATGTGATGTCATGAATGAGCCAATGATGTAATAAATGTGCACCTACTGTGTGAGAGGCCCATGCTGGAGTCTGTCATTCATCTCCTTTAACTTCACAACAGTCATGTGACAGAGATTGCTGACTCCACTACCCATTTCACTGAGGCTCAGAGAGGTTAACCACATGCCTCAGGTCACCAGCCTGGGCGGGGCAGGCTGGGACTGGAACCCAGGACAGAGGGATCCCTGTGTGTTGTTGCTACTGTTATTATTGTTTTAATCCTCAACCAAGGATATTTTTTTCATTGATCTTTAGAGAGAGAGTGGAAGTCAGGGAGGAGGAAAGGAGGGAGAGAGAAAGAGAAAGAGAGAGAGAGAGAGAGAGAGAGAGAGAGAGAGAGAGAGAGAGAGAGAGAGAGAGAGACATTGATGTGAGAGAGACAAAGTGACTTGTTGCCTCCTGCATCATGTGCCCTGACCAGGGTGGGGGATGGAATCTGCAGCTAAGGTTTGTGCCCTTGATAGGGGACTGAACCTATAATTCTTTAGTCCTAAGGACTGACGCTCTAACTGACAGAGCAAAACTGGTGAGAGCATTACTATTATTATTATTATTATTATTATTATTATTATTACTAGAGGCTCGATGCTCAAAATTCATGCAAGAGCAGGCCTTCCTTCCCTGGCTAATGACACTGGCTTCCCTTGGGCACTGATAGTCCAGGCTTCCTCCAAAAACACATCCCATCTAATTAGTATATTAACCTTTTGTTATTATAGATTATTATTATTATTATTATTGATGCTGTCCCTGTACCTGCAGGTAGACCCACCCCTCTCCATCCCAGTCCAGATCCCTGTCCCACGCTGCAGCCTGACAGCCACCTTTCCTCCCACAGTGGGGCCTGTGCAGTTGGGGTGCCTATGGGAAGGGCAAGAGGGAGGACTGGTCCTTCCTGAGCTCTAACCAGGGCAGGCTGCATGCTCAGGGCTTTCCCTTTGAGGGTGGTGTGGCCTGGCCCACAGCCCATGGACTAGGACTCAGAGAATCAGATGTGTTCAAGGTCCCACAGGCAGGCAGGGGTAGAGCTGGGACTTCATCCAGGGCTGAGGTTTCTCCTGACTCCACAGCTGCTCTGTGGAAGGCACAAACACACACATGCACACACACACACACACACACACACACACACACACACACACACACACACACACATGCACACACAGTGTCCTAGAGCCTTTGGAGAACTTGGTCCCAATGAGAAAAAGGAAGTCTCCTCAGGCCATTACCCAGGAAGTGGCTGAGCCAAGACCAACACTGAGCTCCTCCCACCCACCACCTCCCCCCAGACCCTCACTTAGTCCTCTGAGGCCTGACTTCCCATCAGGGACCCATCCTCAGAGCTGCTAAAGCAGGAAGGGAGGAGGGGGTGGGGGCTGCTCCTCCCTGGAGGTCCCCCAGCATCTCCATCCCCCCAGCCCCTCTGGGAGACAGGCCGAGCCCAGCAGGGGTCCTGCTCTCTCTGGGGATCCGACCTCTGCAGGTCACACTCCTGTCTTGGTCTCTGGCTGAGGCCACAGGGCTGGGGACAAGGGTAGGGATGGGCGCCTCTGGCCTCTCCTTCTGGTCAGCCCCACCCTCGCCAGCCTCCCTCTGCCCACGGGGGCATGTCTGGGCCTCAGGGAGGAGGATGAGGAGGAGGCAGGGATGGGAGCGGCTTTGGCTCTTTCCATCCCTCCGGGAGGTGAGAGTCCCCTCTGGGTGACCCTCCACCTGGTATTTCCTCAGCCCATTGCAGCCCAAGGTCCCTGGGGACAGGCCCTGACTGACCTGAGGACACAGGGGCGGGGCTGGGGCTCCTCACCTGAGACCACCAGCTCCAGGGGGTCGCTGGGCTGTGACAGCAGGTAGGGGGCGGTGCTGTTGGAGCCATAGCACCTGTAGGTCCCCTGGTCACCTGAGGTCACAGGACTGAGGGTGAAGGTGGCCTGAGAGGGTGCAGACGTGTTCTGCAGACGAAGGTGCTGGGGAAGATCCAGTGACCCCTCCCTGTGCAGGTGGAAGGTGTCAAACCAGCTCTCAGCCCCACACTGCAGGGTCACGGTCGCTCCCCAGGGCACTGAGGGTCCTGGCTGGGCTGAGAAGGAGGGTTTCCTGTGCATTCCTGGGGAGAGGAAGGCTGTCATGTGTAGAGAGCCATGCTCCTTCACGCCGTTGACCCTGAGCTGAGGGACCTTGTCTTTCTCTCGAGACTGTGTCTGTGACCCCTCCCAACTCCTGTCAGTCATTCTTGGGGTGTCCTTTATTTTCATGACCTCACCCCCTTCTCCATCCCTCCCCTAGGCATCTGCCCAGCTCAGCCTCTGCTCCAGGCCCCTCTCCTGGGCCCATCACCCCCAAGTAACCCTGGGCCCAGAGCCTTGAGCAGACCCTCAGCTCAGTGGCAGGCTGGTTCCTCACCTGCCACCAAGATGTCCAGGGGGGCGCTGGGGGCTGACCATGCAGAGGAGAGGTGGTGTCCACTGTAGCATCTGTACCGGCCCCCGTGGGTGCAGTTCACGTGGCCCAGGGGGAAGTCAGGGCTGCGCTGCCCATCGAGTCGCCAGGGGTGTGTGATCCCCTCGTCCTTGGTCAGCGCAAACCTGTCAAAGCTGGCTTCCGCGTGGCACTGGAGGGTCAGGCTGTGTCCAGACAGCACCAGCGTGCTTGGCTGGGCCGTGAGGGCGGGCTCCTTGTGCACACCTGGGAGGAGGGGACAGTGGCACCAGGGGGCACCCCACATCGCCCACTGGGCTGCAGTGTGAGTCTCCCATGTCCCTTCCTGAGCCTCACGTCTGTGGGTCTGTCCCCAAGTGGCCAGTGTCACTGACCCCATTATCCCAGGGCTTCATTGGAGACCCAGCTTAGATCAGGTCTTTGGGTCCAGGGAACAGATGGGGATGCACCCGGGTCTGTCCTCACCTGTGACCTCGATGTGCAGAGGGTCACTGGGCTGTGACCACACGTTGGGGTTGGAGCTTTGAGAACCATAGCATCTGTAGGTGCCCCCATGGGAGGGTTTCACTGGGCCCAGAGGGAAGATGGCCTGCCACCTCCCAGCATGCTCCCTCCATTCAGATTTCATGCTTCCTCGAGGGTCAGCCTCTCCCTCCTTCAGCAGATGGAAAGGGCCCGATGTGATCTTAGAGCTACAGGAGAGGGACACGTTCCCTCCTGAGGCCACCACAGAGCCTGGCTGGGCTGAGAGGGAGGGTGCACTGTACTCTCCTGAGGGAAGAGAAAGGGCTGTGTTAAAGGATGGTCACCCTCAGGCCCCAGGTGTGTGCTGTGAGGGGTGGGGTCCCATGAGGCCACACTTTATTCCCTCTGCCTGTGACCTGGAGCCCAGGGTGAGGAGGGAATCCGGTGTCTCCCTTACCTGTCACCACCAGGAGCAGGGGGTCACTCCGCTCTGAGAGTATGTCCTCAGCGGTGTAATATGCACACTGGTACTGCCCTGCGATGTGTGAGGGCTTCAATGAGGAAACCGGCCTTGTTGCTGGAGTCCTGTGGGGTCTTCGTGTCCAAGAGCTCAGAGCCCCCCTCTTTGTACAGAACGTAGGCACTAGCCTGCAGAGACCCCTGACACCAGATGGTCACAGAGCTCCCATTGGTGACGATGGGGCCTGGGTCAGCCCAGATGGAGGGTTTGGGGACGTCTCCTGGAAAGGAATCAGACATGAAAGGTCCTGGGGAGCCCTTCTTCCCCCTCATGATGTCACGAATGAGCTAATGAAGCCATTGAATGAGCACCTACTATGTGTGAGGCCCATGCTGGGGTCTCTTCACTCATCTCCTCTCTCCTCACAGCAGTCATGCATCAGGGATTGCTGACCCCACCACCCACCTCACTGAGGCTCAGAGAAGTTAACCATGTGCCCCAAGTCATCCAGCTTGGACGGGGCAGGGATGGGACTGGAAATAGGACTGTGGGTTCCCTGTGCTGTTCTCAAGCTGCGCCCCAGGGGGACGCCAGCTTCATCTCCATGCCTCATCTGAAGGTGAGGATATTTCCTCATTATATGCCCCTAGCACAGCAGGGATAGGGAGGGGCAGGGTGTGGGCTGGACTCTGTGTCTTTCCGGGGTCCCTCTCCACCCTGCATGCCTTGATGCCCCTTGAGAAGGTGGGGCTGGGCTGGGGGCTCTGCCTTCCTGAGCTCTGTGAGGCCCTTATGTCACCTCATCTCCCAGCAGCCTGTGAGTAGGATGGGACCAGCAGACAGGAACCCCACACTCAGAGGAGAGAAGGGACCACCCAGCCCCACAGCAGGAGCAGCAGAGTCAGGAGCTGAACCAGGGCTGATCCACCCAGTTCCCTCCTCTGAGCTGAGCCTGATCGGTGGTGGTGGTGGTGGTGGTGGGGGTTTGGGGGTAGGGGAATGGGGACCTGGACCCTTGTCCTGGTGCCCTTCCCTGTACAGAGGGGACAGGCCCCATAACATTATGACCAGGGGCCTTCCTGTGAGACCCTCTCCCAGGAGGTCAGGACCAGAAGCGACAGGAAATGTAAGCTCAGGACAGGATTTCTCTCCTTTTACACCTGCAGACACTGAGGCCCAGACAGGGAACGGAGAGATTTCAGAGGGGCCTGAACCCTATTATGGCTAAACCCCTGCCTCCATAGAGTCACCTGCCACCTCCTCACAGAGCTCCCCAGTTCCCTCCATGTGGGCCTGACTCCCTGGGTTGGAGAGACCGATCCTCAGAGCTCCTGGGACCCCGTGTTCCCTGAAATCTGTCCCAGCTCCTAGCAGCCTTGGGACAGCCTGCCCGTAGTGCATGGGCGGCATTAGTCCTCAGAGACTGAGACCTGCCCAGGGTGCTGTGTCCCTCTGAGGAAAGAGCACTCACTGGGGGAGGTCCTGCATCCCTTGGTCCTGAGAAGGACAGGAGGAGGGGAGAGTTTGGGGCTGACCCTCGAGTTCCCCTGCTCCCTGAGTCCTCACTAAGTCACTCCCACTGCTCACCTGGCACCTTCTGGACCAGGTGTGGGATTGGGGTGGAGACCGGGAAGGGAGTTCCCGAGGGTCTGATCTTCTCTGGGTGACCATCCTTGAGCCCCTCCCCCTTCAGCCCATGATTATTCTGGGGACTTGATCCTGAGCTGACAGTGGATACGGTCAGGGCCCTCACCTGTGACCAGGAGCTCCAGGGGCTCACTGGGGTGTGACAGCAGGAAGGGGGAGGAGCTGTCTGAGCTGTAGCACCTGTAGGTGTCCCCATGGGCTGAGGTCACAGGGCTCATGGAGAACTCTGCCTGGTACTGGCGAGCTCCGTGCTCTGATCTCAGACGCAGGGGGGGATCAGCTGTCTTCTCCTTGGACAGAAGGAACGTGTCCCTCTGGTTCTGTGACTGACACAGCAGGGTCACGTTCTCTCCTGAGGCCACCCTGGGGCCTGGATGCACCGAGAGCGAGGGTCTGTCAGACAGCCATTCTAGACAGAGAGAGGGAGGGAGAATGAGGGCTGCCTGTCCACCTTGTTCTGCCCTGAGAGTCACCAGGCCTCTCTCTCTGAGGACCCTCCTCTCTGTCTGTCTCTGTTTCTCTGAGTCTCCCCTCTCCCTTCCCACCCCCTGCCTCTCTCTGTCTCCCTCCCTCCCCGGGGCCCTACACTTCCATTCTGGCCTGACCACCTGAGACCCACAGCAGGGCCTGAGCAGAGTCTGGGACGATGACTGAACCCTCTGGATCCTCACTTGCCACTAGGATGTTCAGGGGGTCGCTGGGGGCAGACCATTCAGAGGAGAGGTTGTATCCACCGTAGCATCGATACCGGCCCCCGTGGGAGCTGCTCACAGTGCCCAGGGGGAAGTGGGCCTGAGAGAGCCCAGCCTGGGGCTGCAGGACTAGGCTCTGGAGGAGTTTTCATCCCCCCTCCTTGTGCAGAGTGAATCTGTCATAGCCGACATCAGAGTGACACTGGAGGACCAGGCTCTGTCCATAGGCCACGATGGGGCCCTGCTTGATCAGGAGGGAGGGCTTCCCAGACTCACCTGGGGAGGCCAGACATGAATGACAGGGGCCGCTCCTCCCATAAACTCCTTCTCCTAGCCTGGCTCTCAGGTCTCACTGTCTCTCTGTGTCCCTAACCCAGGAGCCCCTGTACTCCCCTCACACCACCCTCCCATGGGGCTCCCCTTACAACAAAGATGCCAAAAATGTGTCTGATGCCTCAATCCATGGATGAGACAATAATGGGACTCACCTGAGACCAGCAGCTCCAGGGAATCACTGGGGTGTGAGCACACCAGGGGCCTATTCCTGTAGCAGCCATAGCATCTGAATGTCCACCTGTGGCTGGGAGTCACGGGGCCCACAGGGAACAGGGCCTGGGACTGCCCACTGGCGTGTTGTGAGTCCAGGGCCCAGAAGAACCTGTGATCTCCTTCCTCAGTCAGAATGAACCTGCCAAACCGCTCCCTTAAGGCAAGGTGGAGGGTCACGTTCCCGCCTGAGATCACGACAGGGCTGGGCAGGGCTGAGAGGTTGGGTTTGCTGTAGGATCCTAGAAGAGGAGGATATAGCATGTTAAATGGGCTCACACCTCCCTCAGGTCCCCCAGGACTGTGCTGTGAGAGGGAGACATCCTGAGAGCAGACCCCCTTCCAGAGGGCAGAGCCTGAGGGCTGGGATCTATGAGTGTCTTCTCACCTGTCACCATCAGCTCCAGGGGGTCACTACACTCTGACGAGTTAGTAGGGCTGAGATAATAACAACGATATATCCCTGCATCATTGTCATGTGTGTGATGAAGAAATTGGCTTTGTCCCCAGGCTGCAGTGTCTTCTGGCTATGCCATGATGACGGGCTTCTCTCTTTCTCAAAACTGCACTCTTCAACCCCTTAGGTCCCCTGACACCAGATGGTCACAGGGTTCCCCCTGGGGAATCACAGGGCCTGGCTCAGCCCAGATGGTGGGCTTGAGGAGGGGCTCAGCCCAGAGGATCCCTGGAAGAAATCAGAGGCTGGGTCATAAGACATTCCAACCCATGGTACCGAGCTCTCAGTCCTAGATGCCCCCCCCCCCCCCGCCCCATTTGTCACACAGATCTTGCCCCTGCTGCCTGGAGGGTGGCTCTTGTCCCCAATAAGGAGGTGGATCTGGGCCACCTGGAGAGACTCACTTGCCTGCACTGGGGTCCTGAGGCCCACACTCAGCCCTGGAAGAGAGTCCCTGTGAGAGATTTGCCCTGAACCATGAGCAGTACCCTCCTCCCCATGAGTAAAGTGACCGGACGTCCTGCTTTTGGCAGGAGAGTCCCGATTTTTAACAATTTGTCCCGTGTCCGGCGGCGTTTTAATCGGGACTTTTTTAAAACGCAGCGAGACGAGGGACAAATTGTTAAAAATCGGGACTGTCCCGCCCAAAGCGGGACATCTGGTCACCTTACCCATGAGCCCCCTGAGTCCTGGGTCCTGACAGAGCAGGGCTTCCTCCCCTTTCCCATCTTATTGAGGCAGAGCAGGGCCCTAAGGGTGGAGGTCATGATGTCTTCTCCCTGTGGTCTCAGCTGAGAAGATGAGGGAGATGGCGGGCCAGCAGGATGGACAGACAGACCCCCATAGGTGTGGTCACTTAGAGGCTATAGGTGAGGGCACAGCCTCTTTAGCAGCATGGCTCTCATTTTCATGGTGAAGCAGGAAATAGACCCGGAGCCTTCTTAGCCGCCCCTTGCAGGTGAGGTGGACCCAGGTCTCATCCTTTTCTGTCAGAGCCTCCCCCATGAGGTCTCCTTCCTCCTCACCCCCTCCATCAGCACCTCCCTGTGGTCCTCACCATGGACAATGCAACCCAGGCCTTGGAGACACTTCAGGAAGACATGGGTCCCTATGGCTTGCAGAGCTCAGATCAGTAGTTACACGCTCACCTTTTCCTTGTGCAGCTCAGAGTGATGTCCCTGTGATAGTGAGCACAGAGGGAAATGCAGGGCAATAAGGGAAGGAAACAGGTCCTTTCTTTGGCCCCAGAATCTGGGTTTTCTTTCTTTCAAATGTTTCTTCATGAACTTCCCTTTTTCTCTGACACAGCCTCCAGCCCCTCCCTCCTGGGAACAAGCCTCAGGGTCACTTCCTCCTGGGGCCATGGCTTGTCCTAGACCACATGTGTCAAACACTAGGCCCTCGGGCCAAATCCGTCCCGCCAGGCCTTGCAATGTGACCCGCACTGCGCTGTCATCACTGCACTCCACTGCGTTTCCATCACAATGACAGTTTATGACTGTTCAGTAAACCATTCGGCCTGCGATTTAGGCTGGATTTTAGATTTTGGCCCCTTCTCTGATTGAGTTCGACACCCCTATCCTAGACAGTTAAAAGCTATAATTTCACCTAGAGCTTTGATTTGTTGATTAAACCCCCTTTATTTAAATACTTGTGTCCCACCTGCTTCCTGTGTGAATTGAGCAGTAATGTCTCAATCAGGTGTTTTCTTTTCTTTTCTTTCTTTCTTTCTTTCTTCTTCCTTCCTTCCTTCCTTCCTCTCCTTCCTTCTTCCTTCCTTCCTTCCTTCTTTCTTTCTTTCTTTCTTTCTTTCTTTCTTTCTTCTTTCTTTCTTCTTTCTTTCTTTCTTTCCTTCTTTCTTTCTTTCTTTTCTTTTCTTTTCTTTTTTTTTCTTTTCTTTTCTTTTCTTTTCTTTTTTTCTTTCTTTTTTTTTTTTTA